GGTGCACAAATATTCTGCATTCATGCAGCATCCGAGCAAGGGCTGCACCCTAAGGGTTGTGATCTGGACAGCCTACCATAATGCAAGCATTAACGGTTGTTTCCACAGCTCGAACCCGTGACCTATAGCTCACACGGAGACAACTCTACCGTTTCTCCAAGGTCCCCCTTCTTCCTTTCAAGCTATTGAAAAAAAAAAAACTCAAATCACCAATTTTTTATTTTTATTTTTTGGATTTTGCAGGTTTGGACAGAAAGAGAAGGGGTTCGGAACCTATTGAACATGGTGGGTAAAGAAGTTATGATGAAAGGGTTTATGGTAGGTTCATATCATAACCACTTTGAGGAATTCATAAAAGAAGTTTACTTGAAAGTGGGCAAAATAAAATCCAAACACAAAATCTACAATGGTATTGAGAGTTTTTTGGAGAGTTTAGCATCTCTATTTTCTAACTCTAATGTCGGAAAAGTAATTCTTCAAGTAACTCCTTAAACTACCTCTCCCTTTGCCCTCCCTATTATCCTTGGAATAAATAAGCAAAAACAAAATGACAATATATGTCTATTTATGCTTGTTAGCTATGTTTGTTCTTTTGAGGAAAATGTTACTCTCGATCTGTAAAAGGAGGTATAAGGATGGTTGTTTATATATTTATGTCAATTTGCGTTGACTAACAAAAAAAAAAACAGATTGGCGGTTGTGACATATGTTATAATCTCTCTTTAGAATGCTCTAAATGGTGTGCNAAAAAAACAGATTGGTGGTTGTGACATATGTTATAATCTCTCTTTAGAATGCTCTAAATGGTGTGCATAAAAGAAATAGCATTGACTAAAGACACAGACGACGAGTTTGCTTTAATAAAGTGGCTCGGGACAAGATATTGGGGCAAAGGTATGAAGGTACTGCAATGCAGCCTAGTCTGGTCTGACGAGGATTGGGACCGTGAAAAATGCAGCAAAGGTGAAAGACTTTCACCAATTTCTTGAGTGAGAGGTTAGATCCAAAACCCGTACTCTAGTGTTTTGTTATTTACCTTTTGTCTAATAATAAAAGATTCATACTTTAAATCCAGATTCTTCACTCACTAGTTTCCAATTATATATAATATGAAAATAAACATGACATTGACATAATCAGACGGTAACAACAACAGATAAGTTTAACAGTCTGAACTGAAATTAAGACCTTTGGCTCCTTCCTATGTAGTCCAATCAGTTGGAAATAGTGGCAAATTCTATTGGATTAACACGCGTAACAATAAAGTTGGAGCAACGGTAAAGTTGTCTCAATGTAACTTATAGGTCACGGGCTCAAGTCTTGGAATCAGCCACTGATGTTTGTATCAGGGTAGCTAGGCTGCCTACATCACACTCCTCGGAGTGCAGCCCTTCCTNTGTGTATAAAAGAAATAGCATTGACTAAAGACACAGACGACGAGTTTGCTTTAATAAAGTGGCTAGGGACAAGGATGAAGGTACTGCAATGCAGCCTAGTCTGGTCTGACGAGGATGGGGACTGAAAAATGCAGCAAAGGTGAAAGACTTTCACCAATTTCTTGAGTGAGTGGTTAGATCCAAAACCCGTACTCTAGTTTTTTGTTATTTACCTTTTGTCTAATAATAAAAGATTCATACTTTAAATCCAGATTCTTCACTCACTAGTTTCCAATTATATATAATATGAAAATAAACATGACATTGACATAATCAGACGGTAACAACAACAGATAAGTTTAACAGTCCGAACTGAAATTAAGACCTTTGGCTCCTTCCTATGTAGTCCAATCAGTTGGAAATAGTGGTAAATTCTATTGGATTAACACGCGTAACAATAAAGTTGGAGCAACGGTAAAGTTGTCTCAATGTAACTTATAGGCCACGGGCTCAAGTCTTGGAATCAGCCATTGATGTTTGTATCAGGGTAGTTAGGCTGCCTACATCACACTCCTCGGAGTGTAGCCCTTCCCCGGACCCCATGCGAACACAAAATGCTTTATGCACCAGACTGTCCTTTTTTACACGCATAACAGGATAACAAACCAAAGGATAAACCATGGCAGCAGAAAATCCAGCTCCTTGTTCCATATTAAGTGTTTCTGCATCTTTAATTTTCCAATAAAAACATTGGATCATTGCACCAAGTGTCCTATGCAACACTGCTGCTGCAAGTCCAGCACCAGGGCATCCTCTCCTTCCTCCACCAAATGGCACATAACAGAAGTTCTGGCCATCTTTAATGGCCTCCAATTCATCAGGCTCGATCGCGAGGTTCTCGTTCAAGTTAAGATATCTCTCTGGCACAAACTCATCTGCATCAGCCCATGCATTTGAGTCCCTATTAACCGCGTAAAGGTTGACTACAAGCCTAGAATCTTTAAGTATTTTGTAACCATTGATCACACAATCTTCCCTGCATTTTCGAAATACTAAGGGCAATGAAGGATGCAATCTTAGAGTTTCCTTGACAACAGCTTGCAGATAAGGAAGATTTTGTATATCTGAATCCTCAACCAGTCTGTTTTGCACCCCAACAATTCTGTCAATCTCTTGTTGCAGCTTCTTTATTGCCTTTGGATGGTTCAGCAGCTCCGCGAGCGCCCATTGCAAAGCCACACTTGTTGTATCAGTTCCTCCCAAGAACAGATCCTGTTAAATAAGGCCAAAAAGAAGGGGAAGTTACACATATGGCGTTTGTTATGCACTAAACATACACAATATAAATATTTTTCGACTATTATTTTGGAAACTTCCTTTCAAACAGGGCCTCGAGAGGCAACCCATGGAAGTACTGCTAGGTAGGGAGCGAGCTCCTACTTCACTGAAAGTCTGATGAAAATGGGGGGCCCCTTACTTAAGATTCAATTCATAAGGCTAACTTTATGTTGTCGTGAGGCTTCGGGCGGACGACTATTTAAGTTAATTTCTATAAGTAAATAAAAGAACCATCAACTGAACCTAGCATTTTTTTAGATAGAGCATAGGTATATATATGCGTGAAAAGTCACTAAATTTTCAACTATTATTAAAATTTCAACCATAAAGGTTGAACACATCAAGTTTAAGTCGTGGATCCATCTTTATGAAGAGATGATTCTTACCAAGAAAAGACCCTTGATGCCATTTCTAGTGAGCTTCATCTCAGTGCTTTTATCATCTGCAATTTCCAGAAGAATATCCATCATATATTTCCTGTCTTTACTTCCAGCACGCCTTTCCTCTTCGTGTTTCTCGATGATCCCATCCATAAACTTATCAAACGTAAGCAACAAAGCTTTGACCTTTCTTCCAGCTCCAAGAAGATCATATTTCTTCAAAGGACCAAACACTTCACCTAAGCTCAATTGCCCTGAAAGTAATGTTATTCCCTTAGCGATTTCTCTTATCTCCGCGCTCTCATTGACATTAGTTGAGGTTCTGGTGCTCATAGTCAGCCTACAAATAAGATTATTTGTCATAGCCATAAGTTGATTTCCAACATCACAAGCCTCCCCTTGTTCTGAACACTCCGCGAAAAATTCCAACAATTTCATCATTTCCTCCTTCCTAACATCAGCAAATTTAATTATCTGCTGAGGGGAGAGAATCTCTGTCATACAAATTTTCTTCATAAAAATCCAATACTTGGTATAATCCAAAGTGGAAAACAAGGTGTCTTTGAAAATTTGGTACTCTGAAGAGCCAAATTCTGGCCTAGCAGCAAAATTGACATCATTAGTCTTAAAAATTTCTTTTGCTATGGCGCCATTCGACACTATATATGACGATGATTACCAACACGGATCAACATGAATGGCCCATAGCGCAATGCTAATTTCTGAAAGGATTGGTGTAACACTGAACCAAGAAGATACATATGACCGATGATTGGTAATGCTAACGGGCTAGGAGGTTGATGTTGGATTTTCTTGTTTGATTGTTTGAGATTCTTGATAAATGATTGAACTATTATAAGAGCAGATACTAAGCAGATGATTAAGAAAAGCAAGATATGAGGTTGATCTTCTATGGAAATATTCATTGCCATGGCTGGTAATTATGAGATGATTTACACTTTTAATTTCTGTGTTTTTTTAATAGACACAAGGCCTAAAGTATTTTGGAAAATTGGAACGACTTTGTAATCAAGTAGGGTGAGAGGAATAAAATGCAAAAAAAAAAAAAAAAAAAAAAAAAAAAAAAAGGTAGGAAGAAGAAGAAGATACCACAAAGAAANAAAAAAAAAAAAAAAAAAAAAAAAAAAAAAAAAAAAAAAAAAAAAAGGTAGGAAGAAGAAGAAGATACCACAAAGAAACAATAGATTCCACCCATAGGCGACAAAAAGAGATAATCATATGATTTAATTATTTCATTCGTAATTTTCTATATTTCTTGATCAACAAATTCGATGAAGAGGAGCTAGAAATGAAAGTTACAATTTATGCATGTTGTTTATTTAAGTAAAAAAAAGGGGTAGGAAAGGTATCCAATGTGATCTCGTTATTTATAAAAAAAAACATAACTCTCACTTTTACTTGTACATTATTCTAAAAATAGTTTTTCACTTTTACTTGTCACTTTTAGCATATCAAGAGAAGACAATTTCTTTTTTCCTGTTATACTCACAGTATCGATTACTCATTTCAAATCATTGTCTCAAATCCATTAAAAATATGCATCAATTAATATGGGTATCATAGTAAATTATGTAATTTATTTATTAATTATTACCTCCAATGATTTTCATATGCAAACATGCATAGCGGCTAATGACAATTATCTCATGCTGGGTATCCAATGTGATCTCATTATTTATTAGATAGCCAAAGTCCTGCAAATGAGCAGTAGTTAATTGATTAAGTTGATTAACATAAATTAATAAGAACCAGTATAACAATGAAATCCAGATTTAGATTGCTGAAAGCAAACTGATCTTGAACTTGGATACTCCAATCCAGATTTAGAATTGCTTTTGGGCTTTTATTCATTTTTAGTCCGCGGCATAAACTATTTACATTCGTTAACCGAAAAAGTACATAAAATATGTATAATTTTTGGAACGGACCAAAAAGGAAATATGTTCACATAAACTGGAACGGAGGGAGTAATTGTTTCTCTCATATTCCTTGCCAAATATTAAGTTTTGAATTCATGCTATAATTGCTACATGCTTATTTGACATATGTATCTTAATTGCTACTTGACATTTAGCATATTAAATATTAAATTGCCTATGTTCTCCCTGATTTTCATAATTAACTGTTACTTGTCATTACTTGTTTCCTAAATAAATTATAATTATTGTATGCTTTGTTGCCTGATAATTTCTTATTGAATGTAGTATTTATTGGAGTACTTTTATTACATTTAAGAGTTGTTAAATTATATTGTTGGAGCAGGTTGCACACCGCAATGGAAATGAATATATTGGGGGATCGGGTTGCACGCCGTAACGGATTATATTTTAAGTTTATATTGTTGGAGCGAGTTGGACGCCGCAACGAAATTTAATTGAAGGATTATATTGGGGGAACGGGTTGCACACCGCAACAGAATGATAAAAGAAATAATTGGTTATACTGCTGGATTGACTTCAATTATTGATATGATTTACTTGTCTTACCTCTATTCCTGTTATTATTATTATTATTATTGTGTACAAGTTAATGTAAGTGACCTGCCTTAACCTCGTCACTACTTCGTCGAGGTTAGGCTCGGCACTTACAGAGTACATGGGGTCGGTTGTACTCATACTACACTCTGCACTTCTTGTGCAGATACTGGAACTAGTCACAGCGGCATACTGTAGATTTTGCTCTGATTCAGCTATCAGATGAGACTTGGGGTATAGCTGCACGGCGTTCGCAGTTTTGAAGTCTCTTTCTACTTTATTTTAGCTGTGTGCTTTCTTTAAGACAGCTTTATTTTATTCAGACCCTTGTTTGTATTATTCTATAAGTTCGTGCACTTGTGACTCCAGTTCTGGAATGGTATTTAAACATCGTTATTATTTTGGTTTGTTCACTTTAATTCGGACACTATTCCAGTTGTTTGGTTTCTTTACTATTTAATTAAAATAAATTGTTAAAATGATTTAAATTATTCTAACGTTGGCATGCCTAACAAGTGAAATGTTAGGCGCCATCACAATCTAGAAGGTGGGAAATTTCGGGCCGTGACAAAATTGTTTGGACTTAATGTTATGATATTTGAATGTTTGATGTTTAAGTCCAACAAATTAAAATTTGAAATCGAATGGGCAACTCGAAACTGTAACTTTTCTTATTGAATTATATCGATGCATATAGAGATATCAATTAGAGGCCGTTTGGTCGGTGAAATAAGCATTTAATCACCACATACAATTTGGTACTAACTAATACTACATTATTTTGTTATTTGTTTTCTTTTCCACCGGTATAATTTATGTAGGTATTTAGGGGTGTACAAATGAAACCGACAAACCGTACCAACCCGATAATACGAGTCAAACCAAGAAAAACAAACCCGACTATGGTTTGGTTTTATTGGTTTGGTGTTGGAAAAAAAATCGGACGATATTTGGTTTGGTTTGGCTTTAACCGAAACCAAACCAACCCGATATTATATGTATAGAAGTTTTAAATATATTTAATACATGAAAATATTTATTATAGTGTAGTTTATAAATATTTCTTAAGCTTTTTTCATAATTTTATCTTTAAACGTATTATTTCAAGTTTGGATTTATAATTTTTGGATGCTCCAATAAGTTTTATAGTCCATCAATGTTAGTAACTCAAATAAATCCTAAACCAAAATCAAACCAATACTAATAATAATAAAAGTCATTCAATTCATTTGTACTATGAATGAAAATAGTGTTGGGTATCTATTTTTTAGTTTTTTCGTGGTTGAGATAAAATGCATAACTTATTTTTCTTTTAGTGTTTAGTCATGTAAATAATAGTACTTATTAGTTGTACTTATTTTAGCAACTTATTAGTAATTTTAAATTATATTTTTTTATTATGGCTAATTAATAATATTTATTTTTTGCTATTTTCTCATCTTTATTGTTGAATATTTTAGTACAATGCCATGAATCATCTCATATTTATCTTATTTTATTAAAAAAATACTTTTTATAGATCTGTCTTACTAGGATTACAAAAATATTTGGAGCACAAATTCTATGTTTTGTGTTATGAAGGCTTTTGATAAAAAAAAACCCGAAACAGCCTGAAAACCCGAAAAATCCGAGATTTAAAAATCTGACTTTTATTGGTTTGGTTTGTTCTTTAGATTTAATAACCCGATATAATTAGTTTGGTTTGGTAATTAGAAAATCCGAACTAACCCGACCTATGTACACCCCTATAGGTATTTATATAATATTTATACAGCGTAAAATATGGAATAAAAAACGAATATTAGCAATATATGAATTAAAATAAAAATTGATAAAATTGCCCTCACATTCTTTAGATTTATTTATTCTTTTTTCCTTAAAAATATTCAAGAAGAAAATAAATAAATAAAAAAATCACATTATTAATCACTACATTACATTCTTTGCATTACTAATTCCTACACTACTAATTCTTGCGTAATCTATCGTGCATAACTTGTATTCAAACCAAAAACTACGCCTTATAACTTTATTCAAATACTTGAGTATTTGAAAGTGTCATTCGCTATTTATAAGGAAAGAAGAACATGTAAAAAAAACGTGCACCGAACAAAAGCAAACTATTCATTTTTTTCTCCACCGCATAATATCACATCTCTAATTTAGACTAGGAAAACTACAGTACAAGGTGTGAAGGACCTACCACTATACGTCTGGGGACGCTTAAATATCCACCAAAATTCAATGTATTACGCCTTTTCCTCAGTGCCTGTATCATCTTAAAATCTCTTCTTCACACAAATCACAATTAGCGCCCGCACACACACACTAGCTATAACGCGGAGAATGGCTACAGGTGGTGTTGCGTCGGTGGAGGTGGAGAATAGAGAGTGGTATGTTGCAAGTTATGCACCAACGGGTATTCCCAATTCTGAGCATCTTAAGCAACGTACTGTGAGTTTATCGTTGAGAGAGGATTCCATTCCAGATGGACATGTGGCATTCCAAGTCCTCTATGTCTCCATTGATCCATATGTACGCACTCAATTGAGTGGTCTAGATGATGGCCTCTCTCTTCCTCAGATTCCACTTGGCCAGGTTTACTATCTTCACTTCTCTCGGTCTGATTTTATGTGATGTTGTTAGACTGATCGCAAACTAAAAAAAATAAAAATTGTTATATACTGCAATTAGTCCGATCGAAGCAGAGGCAGATCCATAATTTGAAGGCTCCGGTTGCCAAGCTAATCGATTTGATCAACTTTGAAAAAACAAATAGTACTAACTATTTGTCTTTTGGGATTCTAATGGGAGCGAGGATTTTGAAAAGGAAATGTTGTTTTAAGTGTGGGTGAAAAAAAAAAATAGTACTAACTAAGAGACCAAAAAAAAGTCAAGATTTACTAACAAAGAAAGATATAGTCAACAATAATTAAAGAAAGAAAATAAGGAGAACTGAATATAATTGAAGAAAGAAAAATAAGTGAACAATAACATCAAAATTTACCGAGAATACGTGATGATGCAGCAAGCTAAAAAGGTTTTAAAAAGTTTTGTCTCACTAGTTCGATCCCTCACTGCCAAGGAGGATTTATCAGCCATTTACCACAGGCATCTTAAAATCTGTTGTTACTCCAGGTTACACTCGGAATATTTATAAGATTTCGCAGATATGCATACATATATAGTTAAGATTTCGAACAAAGCTTGCGGGTGGCGTACCACCCCGCGGGCTTTAGTAGATCCGCCCCTGGATCGAAGGTAAGTGTGGTTTTAACCAAAGAAAATTTGTTCAAAAAAATAACGCTCCACTAAATAAAATAAAAAAGCAGTAGCTATCTTTTCCTAATCTAATCCTTGCTTTAGTAAATGATTTATAAATTTTGCGGAGAGATAAATGGTAATTTGAAGAGATATAAAGGGAGTATCAAAAATACCTTCAAAACTTATAATCATAAATATGTCATGACATTTCGGTGACTATATATGCACGTAAATAAAGGTAAAACAATAAATTTAAAGTTAATAATTGCATAAATTTTTGAATAAACAGAAAATAAAAGAGTGCCATATACATGCTTCAAAGGACTTCAAAAATAGCGAAAAAGAAATATAAGTATTCTGTGTGTTTACCGTTGAGGTATCCATCCATCCTTAGATTGCTAGTACTATTGTTTGATTGCTATCTTTGCTTCACTTTAATATCTTGTTGTTCTTTGTTAGTATTTGTTGCCACTATTTCTTTTCTTTTATTTTTAGGTTCTATAGTAAACATCCTCTTTACCTTCCCGATAGGGGTAAGGCTGTGTACACTCTACCCTCCCTAGACCCCACTTGTTGGAGTTTATTAGATTGTTGTTGTTGTTGTTATTATTTGTGTTTACAGTCGATGGACTTTAATATCTGTTAAAGTTCTAATATAAATGCATAGCTCTAGTATGCTGATATTAATTAATAAAATGATACAGTGCAGGTGATAAGAGCATTAGGAATGGGGAAGGTAATTCAATCTAAGGACACCAAGTTTTCAGAGGGAGATATAGTACTTAGCCGTATTTGCCCTGTTTCAGAATTTGGAGTTATGCCCTCAAATTTACTTCAGAAGATTACTCCTGCAATTGGGATTGCGTTGCCCGATTATCTTAGTTGCTTAGGTATATACCTAATACCTCTCCTTCACCAATTTTAATTATCGTTTTTACAGTCATGAACTTAAAGCAAAAATCAAGTAATTTCTTTTATTTATGTGTAATAGGAATGCCTGGTATAACTGCGTGGGTGGGCATAGAAAAGATAGGAAATGCTAAAGCGGGATCGAATGTGTACATATCGGCTGCAGCGGGAGGAGTTGGAATTATAGCAGGACAACTAGCCAAAGTAAAAGGGTGTCGAGTTGTTGGAAGTGTTGGTTCAGATGATAAGGTATTATTTGTGTTAAATACTAAATTATTTACTATATGATTGTTTGATATTACCTAATGTTCCAGGCGTTTCATTTTATATGGCGATATTTAATTAGACATGAAGTAATATAAGAAATAACAAAATTTGTGGCCTAATTAAATATGTCAATTATAAGAGTAAAATAAAAATTTTAAAGTAATTATTTTTGAAATATTAAAAGGTGCCTTATATTCTAAAGCAAAGAGTGTGTAATAAATGAAAGGTGCCCTTTTTTTATTTATGTATATTCAATAACAGAGGGACTTATGTTGTCTAACTAGAGAATTGGAATTAATACATTTTTGCCTCAAAACTTAATAGTATCAGACCTTTTCTCTTACGAAAAATCTAGGTTAAAATTTTACAGCTCACAACAACGATTTTAGAAGCTGTTTGGTAACTCGGTTAAATATATATTCTCTCTGTTCACTTTTAGTTTTCCACTTTTAACTTTGAGAAAAAATAATTGAAATATGTATTTTATAATCCCATAATAATGATAACATTTCAAAAAAATTTAGGAAATGATATGGAGAGTAAGTAGTTAATTATAAGAGTAAAACAAGAAAAAAAAAAAAAAGATTGTCCTTCTCTTGATTTGCGAAAATAGATTAAGTGAAAGTGAAAATATATTTTTAATAAGAGTAAGTCTTTTCAACCGGAGATAAATTAAATTATGCTTGTAATCTGGATATATGCTTCCTCTTTTTTTCTCTTGGTAGGTGAAGCTATTGAAAGAAGAATGTGGCTACGACGATGCTTTTAATTACCGTGTAGAGACAGATTATGATGCTGCATTAACCAAGTAAATTTCTTTGCTTCTTCAAAATATTTAGGTTTTTGGTAGTACTAATTACTAGCTAGTAAATCTTTTTATTTTCCTTGGACTACTTTTCTAGCGATTGACATGCTCATAATTTTTGTATTACCTCTTACAGATATTTCCCAAATGGGATTGACGTTTATTTTGACAATGTTGGTGGTAAAATGCTTGAGGCTGTTCTTAATCATGTCAACCACGGAGCTCGTATTGCACTTTGTGGGATGATATCCGAGTACAACAAGGTACCCTTTACTGTTTTAATACAAGTATAATATGTTTATAACTATATATAATTTATGTATACCGATCAAACAAAGTAAATGGTAAATCTGACCGGCTAATTGTGTAAAGATTCCTAACTTTTGTACAAACTTGGTCTTTTTCTTCCTTCCGCTATTAAATAAGGACAGCCCGGTGCACAAATATTCTGCATTCATGCAGCATCCGAGCAAGGGCTCCAAGGGTTGTGATGTAGATAGCCTACCATAATGCAAGCATTAGTGATTGTTTTCACAGTTCGAACCCGTGACCTATAGGTCACACGGAGACAACTCTACCGTTGCTCCAAGGTTCCCCTTCTTCCTTTCAAGCTATTGAAAAAAAAAACTCTAATCACCAAATTTTTATTTTTATTTATTGGATTTTGCAGGTTTGGACAGAAAGAGAAGGGGTTCGGAACCTATTGAACATGGTGGGTAA